ATCTGGGGACAGAGGCGGCGGTGGGCACAAGCCAGTCACCAAGCCCCGTCCGTTTGGAAGAGCTGCCCACTCCCACTGGGCCTTTCTCACCCCCGCCCACACTTCAGGTAACTCCACTTACTGCGGGGTGGGGAGAGGGGGTTCTTTACCAGGGCGCTGGCTGCAGGGTTGGCTGTTACAGGGTCGTTTCCTGGAGGGCCGCAGGTGAGGTGGGCATCGGGTGCTGAGGGTCTGGTTGGCACTCAGGCACTGGACTTCCCTCATCTGTACACCCCCCTGGCAGGAACGAGAACACTGGGGGGACCCCAGCTACCATATCAGACCTCTGCCTGTCCTTTAACCCCTGTACTTAACCCTAGGCCACCGCCTCCCCCTCTGAAAGGCAGTGGGGGGGATTCTTCTGGGACGTGACCACATCCCCAACGGAGAGAGCCCACCTGCCCTCCAAGTCTATACGAAGTGGGACCGAGTTAAACCTCAGCTGGGCTTATCCTGGGGCACACAGACTTGGAGGGGGTGCAGTGAGAGGACCCCCCCCCACCCTGGAGGGCTAGGGAGCCAGGCCCTCACCGGACTCCAGGGAGTAGAAAACCATCGGTCCTGGCAGGCTTGCCCCTGGCAGGGCTGCAGGGTAGGGGGCCTGGGCAGGTGGGAACAGTTGCTGGGAGAGGTCACGTTGAACTCAGTCCCCAGTTTGGACACACAGATGACATCCCTCCGCTGTGTGCCAGAGCCACATTCTGAGGAGCACTGTCGTCGGGAAGGGTGGGGAAGAGATCAGTCCCGGCTGTCCGCGTGGAGCCCCAGGGATGGCACCCGCTGCCGGCCCGCCCAGGCTCTCTGCTCACCTCGCCCCAGGGCCCCGTGTACCAGCACCAGGTCATCTCACAGGGCCTCAAGCTGCAGGCGCGCATGTCGGGGGGGCGGCTTCCTGGAGGACAGCTCTGCTCTCCAGTCGCTGCTCCTGCTGCTTCCTGGCCTGCGCTGAGGGCCTCCCCACTCCCCAGGCAGACCACGGAGCGGCGCTGGATGCCCGTCCCACACTCGGCCGAGCACTGTGGAGAGGAGTGGCCTGCATGGAGGAGGCTGCCGGTGACGAGCAGGAGGGTGGGGGCTCGAGGAAGCAAGTGCCTGGGTCCTGGTCCTGGCAACTGGGAATGGCCCGGGGGCATCAGCCAAGTAAGGGGAACCTTGGGTCCAGGACCCCAGTGTAAGTGGTCCTTCCATACCTGGGCTCCCAGCGTCAGGCACACAGCGCGTGCCCAGGAAATGGCCACTGAGCAGTGGACAGGCTCCGAGGGGTCCTGGAAAGTTCGCTAGGGACACGGGCCTTGGCTGCGGGGTCTGGGGCCCACCTTGGAGCTCCAGTCGCTGTGGAACCAGGCCGTGGTACAGGGGCCCATGTCGCAGGCCTCCTTGCTGGGGGGCCGCGGGGGGCCTGAGGCGCACTCCTGCTCGCTCACTTCGTCTCCGTTGTTGCCCACGCAGCGCACCTGCCGGTTCCTCTGGCCACGCCCGCAGCGCACGGAGCACTGAGGGGACAGGGGCAGGGCCACCCCAGCAGCTGGGCTCACCGCTCTCCCAGCAGCCCCCGCGCGCCGGCTTCTGAGCCCAGCTCAGCCGGATGGGGTGTCATGCATGGACGAAGGGCTGAGCAGGGGTCTGGGCTCCCCCTCCCGGTTTCAGTCCCTCGTCTGACTTTTATATGTGAGGGTTCACCTGAGTCTTGTCTGAAAGAAGTTCCGGCTGAAGGAAGTCGGAAAAACCAGTCCCTAGCTCCTGGGTGCCCACCCCTCCGGGACCCTCCTCACCCTCGGAGCCACCATGCCCAGCCACTCACCTGGCTCCAGGAGGAGCCCACCTCCCAGTGGCCACAGAGGCGCAGCTGACAAGGCTGGGTGACGTTGGGCCGAGGGAGGTGGCTGCAGCGCTCCGGAGGCACGGAGGAGCCGCCGCCCCCAAACTCCTGCCTGCAGTGCAGCTGGCGGTGCTGGGTGCCAGGGCCGCAGGAGCGGCTGCAGGACGTCCACTCGCCAGCCTCCCAGCTGCGGGCAGGCAGGGCAAGATGAGGTGGAGGGAAGCCGCGCCAGGCGTGGGGGAGCCTGGGTCTGTGGGGGCTCAGGCTGCCTGTCGGTGTCTCTCAGCACCCAAGAGGTGTCATGTGGTGTGCAGAGCCCAGTGAGAGCCTGGGACCGCTGCTGTGTTCCCAGCACCCGACCCTCCACTGGAGTCGACTACCCACCCCCGTCATGTGTTGACCGTCCTAACAGGATTTGTGAGTGACAGAGACCTGTCCTGTTAAAACGGTCAAGTGAAAACTTGATCCAATGAAAGGATCAAAGGTGTTGAAAGGTGGGGCGTTAGGGAAGGCCTCTGGACTGAGTCCTGGTGGGTTTATGAGGCGAGGGGATGGGGTAGCAGGTCCCCCTGTGAATCGCGGACCACGCCCTTGGCCCCTGGCCTTCCAAACCGGGAGCCGAGGGGACCTCTAATCTTTCCAATTACCCAACTGAGTATTGTTATTAGGACAGAATGGCCCAGAACAGCCTTCCTGTAGTTGTACTCACTATGGGGGACACGGGGGACCATGGCAGGGTTCAGGGGAGGTGGGGGGCCTGGCACCCACAGCACAGCTGTGCTCCTCCAGTTCTTCTCCCGACTCCCGAGAAATGCAGAGGAAGATGGGGCGCCAAACACCTGAAGAGGGCGAGAGAGTGGCCCCGGAGGCGGACGGCTCAGGCCCCAGTGCCAGCAGGGCCCCGCTGCGGTGGCGAGGACTGCCGTCCAGGATGCCAGGCCTGGTGCACTGCCGGGAAGACAGGTGAGGAGCCTCACCTCTGCCACAGGACGCCGAGCACTCGGAGTGTCCCACGCGTTTCCAGTATCCAGTCAGAGACCCCGAGGGTGTTCTGGGGTGGGGCGGGGCAGGCATCTGAGGGATCCGCACCTGGCGCTGGAGGGTGCCTGGGGTCCGGGCAGGTCGGGGTGCTGAAGCAGGCTCCACCCTCAGAACCTCTGCAGGGGGAGGCGAGCGGGCAGATCAGACGCCCCACTCTGCCTCCAGCTCCTCGGCTTCCCCCTCTTCCTTCCTGGTCTGAGGTTCAGTCTCACCAGGCTGAAGTTGGGGGACAGGAGGCTCTAAGGTGGGGTTCTCGAGGACTGAAGCAGGTGAAGAGATGACATACTGATAGAAAACACCAGGGTTTTCCTCCTGAAAGATCATCTGGGGAGAAGCAGAGGCCATGAATGTTGGGGTGACGGGGCGCCAGCCACTTCTCTCCCCCTTGACCCCAGGCCCCGGCTCACATAGACGTCCACAGGCTGGGTCGTGGGGCCGTCTGCTGACAGGCTCTCCCCCTTGCCCTCCTCGCGAGGGGGACGGTCATATCGGAACACAGTCCCTCCGGCCACGTAGGACCCGGGGGGGTCCACTGCCCAGTTCCCATTGATGATGGACTGGCCCCCAGGGCCTCGAAGTGCTGGAGGCAGAGGGGGCAGCCCTGGTTAGTCGCCCTGCTCCCCCACCTCACCTACAGGAGAGCCCACGCAGAGCCGGGACTCCCCAGCAGGCTCAGCTTCCTCACTCCTCCACAGGGGAGCCGCAGCCCCCTGCCCCCCGACTTCTCATTTGCCTCCACAACTGTGCTGAGTGGGCGTGGAGGCCAGAACCCAGAGGACGTGGAATGGGTCAGGGGACCTGGGAACCGGGGCTTACCGAGGTAGTTGGAGCTGGGCCGGAGCTGGGCGATCTGCAGCCGGGAGGCTCCTGCAGGAATCCGCAGGATCTTCTGATAGCCCAGAGGGCCGCCCCGCTCAGTCAGGTTCCCCGAAACGAGGCGGCAGGTAGAATTGTCACCCCCGCAGACTCCACAGCCATCCGGACGCCTGCCAGAGCCAAGGATCCCGTCACAGCCGGGGCTCTGGGGAGAGTGAGGTGAGGCAGAGGCCACACGAAAGCCAGACACCGCCTCACACCCACCCTGGTCCGCTGGGGGCCCTGGGCTCACTACCTGTCCTGCTTGTGCTGTGAGTGACAGAGACCTGTCCTGCTGTGAGTGACAGCGCTTCCCTGCCGGCCCACCCCAGCAGGTTTTGTCCCACAGGTCACCTCCAGGTGAGAACTGCCCCTGGGCCACCTGATTCTGATGGTGCGTTGTACTGGTGAATGAAAGGGCTGTGTGTGCACATGTGTGTGTATGTGTGTGTGTGTGTGTGTGCACACCCCATCCTGCCTCACCAGACAGTGTCCAGCCACACAGATGTCTGGGGCTCCAGGTTGACAGAGAGTCCCATCCTGGACCTTTTCGGTGTGACGCACATAGAAGCGGAAGCCGCGGGGACGGCAGTTCAGTTCACAGCGCTGGGAGCCCTGAACTGAGACAGGGTATGAGGCTGGTTAGTGGGGGTCGCGGTGGAAGATTCCCAGGGGAATTTTCTTATATTAGCTGTGTGGCTTCCTCAGGCTGCCTCTGTCATTGTCATGTGCAGAGCCATCATAATGGGATTAAGACAGTGAAAACTTGACCCGATTATGGATTATGGTGTGGGCCTTTGGGAAGAGATTAGGATTAAGGTCATTAGGACTGGCAGGGCTCCCCAACTGAGTCCTGCTGGGTTAATGGGAGGAAGGGGGACCAGGACAGAAACACACAGGATACAGCTGCTCTGCTCTCACCATCACGGCATGATTGGGACTCGGCAAGACACCCACCAGATGTGGCCCCTGGACCTTGGCCCTCCAAACCGTGAGCCACATAAACCTCTATATTTAGAAGTCATCTGTTTCAGGTATTTTCTTTTTCTTTCTTTTTTTTTTTTTTTTCCTGCTATATGGCGTACATGCTCACTGGAGAGACAGAAAGCGAGAAACCACCCTCTCCCAGGGGAGATGGCCACGCCATGATCCCTTCTCCTTCAATCTCCTCTCGGAATTTTGGGCACACATGCATATGCGCCTGGTGTGAGTTTTAAGCTGCCAGGTCTGGGACTTGAACTGTGGTCATGGTCAGCTATGTGGGAGTCCAGCAATGTAACCATTATGCCATCTACTGGTCCCAGTTTCAGGTATTTTTTGTTATTACAACAAAATTGGCTAGGACACCCGCTATCACCAGGCTGCCCTGGCCGGCTGAGCTGCTCACCTTCGGTGAAGGGCTCCCACTGGTAGAGCTGGCCCATGAACTCCTGGGAGTCGAAGGCTGCACACTGCAGGGCCCGGGGGTCTGGCTGCTCAGGGGGGCAGGGCTGGGGGCGGGGACACAAAGTCAGAGCTGGGGAGGAAAATGGGGCTGTGGGTCAGGGCTGGATCTGGGAGCAGGGGGAGGATGAGGACTATGGGAGAGCGCCCAGGCCCTCCTCCCTCAGGTCTAGATCAGACAAGTTGAGGACACAGAACTGGGTATGAGGGCTGCAGAGCCGGCAGTCCAGGTGGGGACAAGTCCAGAGGGGACTCACCGCTTGGCTGCAGGCTCTCAGCTGCTCGCTCTCCCCAGAACATCTTGGGACAGGGCTGCTGGGAGCAAAGAGGCTCCAGAGGGGGCTGGCCTGGGGACTGCCACTCAGAAGAGGCAGCCAGCCCTCAGGCGGGCGGGCAGACTCCATCGGGGACTCCCCCCCAGGTCTCCAGTGCCCCCGAACCTGCTGGCCTTGGCCCCGAGGGACAGAAGGGAAAGAACCAGGGTTTCTCCCTGCTCCTCGGAGACTGGCCCAGCCCTGGGAACTTGGCGCTCTGGGCTGAGGGGACAGGTGGAAGGAGCCACTCCTTGCAGAGGAGGGGGCTGGTGAGGCCTGGGCTCTGGGGTGGGACTCGGTGGGGGAAGGCCTGCCTCTGGGGGCCATCTCTGTCTGAGCATTTTGGAGACTTGGAGGTTCTGCTGTGGGAGGTGAGGGATAGGCAGCCGGTTCTGTGGGAGGGATCTGAGTTTGGGGGCGGTGGTGTGCAGAGGATGGCTCTGCTCTGGCAGTCAGCGATGGCAGGGTCTCTTGCCCTCCAGAGGAAGTCTGGGAGAGCTCAGATCTGGGTGGCCTCCGTGGGTGCCTGCGGTTCCGATGCAGAGGCAATGCAAAGGGCACTCTCCCATAACCGAACATTCCTGGCTTGATGGGGTCTCGAATCCGGGATCTGAGAAGATGTTGCAGACCAGGGGTCAGAGCTCTGGCCATCTCTGGCCCTCTCCCAGTCTACTTTCTGGCAGCAAAGGTAAGTCTCCCTGTGCCAGGCGGCCTTTGCTCCTGTCTTCCATGCCAAGCCCTGACCCTTGCCCAGGGCCCACCTCTTCCCTCAGAGCCTCACCTCCGGGACCCTTGACTCTCCTGCGTCTCCTCTCTCCCTAGTTGGAAAGCAGGACCTCGAAGTGGGCCACCCCTCCCCCGAGACTGTGGCCTGTACAGGGGGAGGGTTTCCCGGGAGGTCTGGGGTCTGGGGCCCTGACCCCGGGGAAGGAGGGCTTCCGGATGTCGTGGGGGCCTGGGAGGGAGGGCCGGGCCCGGTCGGAGCTGGGCTGTAGGGAGCTGGCATGCTCGGCTCCTGCGCTGCACTCCCACCCCACAGGGCTGGGAGCACGGAGCCCACTGGTCCCAAGGTCCCCAGACACCCTCAGGGCCCTGGCCCTCCTCTGGGGGTGCCTGAAGAGAGTGTCCAGACAACACCTGCGTAAAGAAAGAGGTCAGACTGGATTAGAATGGCGGCGGAGGGAGCTGACCAGAGTATCTAGTCCCGGGCTGGAGGCTCAACAAGTTGCTACGGGCTCAAGGTCATGTTCAGTGGGAGGCAGGACCAGAACTTGGTGTTACGTGGCAAGGACTTGGGGAAGTGGCCAAGCACAAGGGAGGGGCTTAGCAGAGGCTGTGGGCCATGGAGGCGGCGGGAGGTCGGGGACAGAAGTTCGCGGGCAGGTGGGCGCCGCGCTCACTGCTCACCTCCTGATCCAGGCAGAGCTGAGGGAGGGACAGCAGCAGCAGCAGCAGACACAGCCGGGGCCTGCGCACCAAAGGCAGGGCCCGAGGAGGCGTTACAGCACCACCCCGCCCGCCTGGGGCTCCCCCCAT